TTAATCACAGGCCCCAGCCTTTTTTTCCCTCCTCAGATTGGGGAGGGGGGGTCATGCTTGGGCTTTGAATGGCAGCCGAGGGTCAACCTCTGAAAATCAGGGAGAGAGCCAGGACAATGGACGAAAGGAGGTCAGGATGAAAAAAAATCTTAATTTGGCCTCGAATGTGAATTTCCCCCGGAATTTCAAATCGGTAAAAGATGGTTTTGCTTTCTAAAGGCCCTTTTGTTTGGTATGCCCTTTGAGTAGAACCTCAAAGGATCCTTTGGCTGACTGTCCCGGTTCAAATTTGCATCCTGGCCTTAAATTATAATCAATAATGAGACAGGAGATTCTTCTCCCTAACTTTAAGATTAAAGTCTAAATTTAAAGCTCTCTGGGTTGTTTTTGTTCTATAACCTTTCCGGTTCTCCCTTTTTTTAAACACGTTTTTATAAGGTTTAATTCTTTTTTAAAACAGTGTGATGAAAGAAATGTCNTATCTCTTCTCCCTTCCTCATCTTTCTCCTCTTCTTCACCAATCCTCTTCCTCATTCTCCCCTCCTTCTTCTCCTCCTTGTCCCTCTTCTCTTTCTTTTTCCAATCCTCCTCCTCCCTCTTCTTCTCCTTCTTCCTTGTCTCTTTTCTCCTTTCTTTTCTCCTCCTCTCATCTTCTTCTCCTTCCTTCCTCCTCGTCTCTTTTCTCCTCTTTCTTCTCTCCTCTCCTCTTCCTCATTCTCCCCTCCTTCTTCTCGTCTCTTGTCTCCTTTTTCCAATCCTTTTCCTCCTGCTCCTCCTCCTCTCCTAAACCCTACTCCCTTCTAGCACTGATGAGGTTCCCTAGTTAGATAATGAAACATCCGCAAGAAAACCATCAAGTTCAGAGAGCACTAAGAACGCCTGAGTTCAACTCAGAGCTACAAATATTCTTTTATTAGCTACATTTTCTTCTCCCTTGTCCTTCGGGGACAAGATTTCAAGGTTTGTTTTTCTCCACACAAACAGGGCAATGCAGAAGAGGTCAGTCTCCAGAATTTATCATTATGGTTTGCAAAGCCAGGTCAAGCCACCCTTGGATATGTTCAACAACACTCTGTTAGCAAAACCCTGATCCAAAGAAAACAGAGTACATTTATTTTTAAAAAATTACAAATGTGTAAAAACACAATGAGTTGTAAAGGAACCCAAAAGCAAAAATAAACACACCGTTTTGTACTAGTCACATGTGACTCCCCCCAAGTTTTTTATGTCTAGTTCTAATTGCCAGACTGGGCGGTGGCTCAGTGGCTAAGACACTGAGTTATCGATCGGAAAGGTCAGCAGTTCGGCGGTTCAAATCCCTAGCACTGTGTAATGGAGTGAGCTCCCGTTACTTGTCCCAGCTTCTGCCAACCTAGCAGTTCGAAAGCATGTAAAAATGCAGGTTGAAAAATAGGAACCACCTTTGGTGGGAAGGTAAGAGCGTTTCGTGCACCTTCGGCATTTAGTCATGCCGGCCACATGACCACAGAGAGGTCTTCGGACAGCGCTGGCTCTTTGGCTATGAAACGGAGATGAGCACTGCCCCCCAGAGTCAGGAACAACTAGCACATAGAACCTTTACCTTTACCTCTAATTGCCTGATCAGTTTCCTCTTGAAACCTAACTACTCTACTATATGCTTGTTAAATCATAAGGGCTATATTCAAAATTCTAACCTACGCTCAGGAACCTACACTTAAGACAGTTGTGGGGTCTGTGCTGCGCTCCGAGCTTAATTGTTTTCTTGTGGACATTTTATTACCCANAACCAGCTAAATATGAGCCAGCAGTGTGTGTGTCAGCAGCCAAAAAAGCCAATGCAATCCTAAATTGCATTAACAGAGGGATACAATCAAGATCAAGGGAGGTGCTAATACCTCTCTATAAAGCCCTAGTAAGACCACACCTAGAGTACTGCATCCAGTTTTGGTCACCACACTATAAAAAAGATGTTGAGACTTTAGGAAGAGTGCAGATAAGAGCAACCAAGATGATTAGGCGACTGGAGGCTAAAATATAGGATGAACGGTTGCAGGAACTGGGCATGGCTAGTCGAGAGCAGACTTTTAATATTTGAGGGGCTGCCACAGAGAGGAGGTGGTCAAGCCATTTTCCAAAGCATCCAAAGGCCAGAGAAAGAACAATGGGTGGAAACTGACCAAGGAGAGATTCAACCTTGAAATAAGTGAGAACAATCAACCCACGGAACAGAAGTTGCCTTTGGAAGTTGTAGGAGTTTCATCACTTGAGACTTTCAAGTGACTTTCTGCCATTTGTCAGAAATGGTGTCAGGTCTCCTGCTTGAGTGGGGGGGGGGAGATTGGACTAGATGACCTATAAGGTCCCTTCCAACTCTGTTAATTTGTTATCTGTTCTCCCCTCATTCGATTCTCGCAACAACCCTGTTAGGGAGGCAGGACTGAAAGAGGCTGGCTGGTTCCATGTCAACCACTGGGCTTCAAAGGTTGAATAGGAGTTTTAATCTGGGTCTCCGTAATCCTACAGGTAATCTGTTAAAACAGAGGATAGAGACACAGGGAGGGAGGGAGATGAAAGTAATGTACATCATGGCTCTTAGCAGCAGGCATTTGAGCCGCGTAGAAAATATGATCCTCAGGTCAGAGGAAAGAAAAACATCAGTCACCCAACATGGCAGTGAAGGCATCTACCTGCTGTTTAAACTCCTTGAATTAATTGTCCTTCACCTCATGCTATGCAAATGTAGGAAGTTAAAAACCACCCCTCTCCCAGAAAAATGAAATATCCTAGGAAATATTGAAAAGTCAGAATATTACATTTCTCTGGATAGGAGATGCAGAAACACGTTTTTAGGCAGGAAACAGACTCACTCTTTATAACCCTCACCTTTGTCAATGGGCCATTAGGGGCCCTGAGCTAGCCTACTCTACATAACAAAGATATGATTAGCCTTCTACAGAAACTCACCACATGGCATCTGGGAACTCAACCAAACTTAGACTCAAAATACAGCCTAGAAAGTTGCCCCTGCATGGCAACTCCATGGGAGTCTGACAACCAATCAGAATACATTTCTGACACAGGAACAGGAAACAGAAAGGTGGGGGCGAAGAGAGAGTATAAAACCAGGGACTTTCAGCACCTCACTCTCTCTTTTCTTCTTCACCCAACATCTGGAAGCATGGGATCCCCCTTTTCTGTTCAGGAGCTCAAGCCTTGCGATCCTGTCCACCTTTAAAGCATCTTTCCAAGCAGCCTCCATGTTTCCAGTGTCTTTTTCCCCACTTGGAGCCGAACCCAGAAGGACCTTTCTTTCATCACATGGGATCCCCCTTTTCTGTTCAGGAGCTCAAGCCATGCGATCCTGTCCACCTTTAAAGCATCTTTTCAAGCAGCCTCCATGTTTCCAGTTTCTTTTTCCTCACTTGGGGCTGAACCCAGAAGGACATTTCTTCCAAATAAACACTGGGATCTAAGGCCAGCAGCCAGAATATCAACTGAGCATCCCACGAGGTGGAATTTCTGCATAGAAAAAGCAATTTCGCCTCTCTCTTAGGAGGACCAAGGATGATGGAAAGGCAGTCTTTCTGCATTTGGCACTCGCCTGATCTTAGCCACACAGTCAGACAAATATGAATATTGGATTCTTACTTCCTCTGATGATCAGCAGGTCAGAGAAAAACCGGGCTGTGCAACTAGAGGCAGAATTGCTTCTAATTTCCCCCTATACAGGTAGCCCTCAACTTACAACAGTTCATTTAGTAACCATTCAAAGTTACCATGGCCCTGGGGAAAAAAGTGACTTATGACCAATTTTCACACTTACGACCATTGTAGCATCCACATGATCATGTGGTCAAAATTCAGGTGCGTGGCAAACTGGTTCATGTTTTTGACTGTTGCCGTGTCCCAAAGTCCCCTTTGGTGGCCTTTCTGACAAGCCAAGTCAAGGGGGGGAGTCACATTCATTTAACAACTATGTTGCTAACTTCACAACTGCACAAGGATAGATAATAGAATGGAATAGGAATAGGAACGAGAAGAGAATATAGAAATAGAATAGAAGAAGGGAAGGGAAGAGAAGAGAATGTAGAAATAGATAGAACATAATGTAGGAATAGAATGGAAGGGGAGAGGAGGGGAGGAGAGAGGAGAGGAGGTAGAAATAGAACAAAACAGAATGTAGGAATAGGATAGAATAGTGTAATGGAAGGGAAGGGAGGGAAGGGAATGTAGAAATAGATGTAGAATGTAGAATAGAACAGAACAGAATGTAGGGATAGGATAGGATAGGATGGGATAGGATAGGGAAATGGAATGGAATGGAATAGAATAGAATAGAATAATAGAATGGAAAAGAATAGAATAGAATAGAACAGAACAGAACAGAATGTAGGAATAGAATAGGATGGGAGGGAAGGGAAGGAAGAGAAGAGAAAGTAGAAATAGAACAGAATATAGAATAGAATAGAATAGAATAGAATAGAATAGAATAGAATAGAATAGGAGGAAGGGAAGAGAAGAGAAGGTAGAAACAGAACAGAACGTAGGAATAGGATAGAATAGTGGAATGAGAATAGAATGGAATGGAATGGAATGGAATGGAATAGAATAAGCTGAAAGGGACCTTGGAAAGGCACCACCAGCGAGCGCGCAACTCTCCACCAGCTCAGCGGACCTGCAACCTTTCTTCTTCGAAAAAGCATGGGAGTGAGCGGAACCTCCCCCGTCGCGCTCGTTTCCACACGGAGCGTCCGACTGGCGCGCAGCTCCCCCGAGGGCGAGCCACGTGGCTCCCGAGGAAGTGCCTTTCCTGGAGGTGAAGTGGGTCTGGGTGAAGAAACGCTGGGAGGGAGGGGTCCAGGGGCAGAGGGAGGGCAGAGGGAGATTTGAATTGGATTTGCAAGCAAGCAAGCAAGCAAGCAAGGGAAAAGGGGATAGGAGGGAGGGAAGGGGGATAGAAGGAAGGGAGTGGGAAGGAAGGAAGGAAGGAGACCAAGAGGGCTTCTGGATGCAAATCTGCAGTAGTTCTTTCCCTTGGTGTGGTTGGAAATCTGTTTCTTATCCCCAGCTGGGACGTGCACTCTGTCCATGCCCTGGAGCAACCTTCTCCCTCTGCCTTACAGGTAGTCCTCGACTTACAACAGTTCATTTAGTAACTGTTCAAAAACGTCACTTACGACCATTGAAAAAAGTGACATGCCCATCTTAAAATGGAAAAAAAAAATGACAGGATCATTTTTCACACTCACAGCCGTTGGAGTGACCCTGAGGTCACATGATCAAAATCCGGACCCTTGGCAACTGGTTCATATTTATGACGGTGGCAGTGCCCTGGGGTCAGGTGATCAACTTTTGTGGGCTTCTGGCAAGCAAAGTCAATGGGGAAACCAGGTTTGCTTAATAACTGTGTCACTAACTCAACAACGGCAGTGATTCACTGAACAGCTGGGACAAGAAAAGTTATAAAATGGGGCAAAATTCACTTAATGTGTCTCACTTAACGACAGAAGTTCTGAGCTCAATTGTGGTCATAAGTCGAAAACCACCTGTATTTAATCTCCAGACCATTTTGCTTGCAATTGTGCTGAGTTCAAAGTTGCAATGCTCAGTGCTGGGCGGAGAATTGCACTGCATTCTTGCAATTAAATGGGAGCATATTATTGTTCTCCCTTATGGCAAACAGCCCTGCAAAGTAGGACGGGCTAAGAGAGGTTTTAAGGTGAAATTCGGGACTGTTTATGGTAGTAATTTATACCAGTGGTCACCAACTGGTGGTCCATGAGAAAATTTTGGTAGTCCGCAGAAAAACTATTTGCATTTTCTAATATTGCGCTAAACACTATTTATCTTCTAAAATGATTCATACTAGTGGTCCGCGGGATTTAAAATTATGAATTTAGTGGTCCCTAAGGTCTGAAAGTCTGGTTTATACTGTGGCAGGATGAACAACAGCGTAACAAATCTTTGGAAGAATTGTTTTCAGATCTTCCAAAGTCCTAACAATCTGCTTTTGGGGGTTTCTGAATTAAATATCCAAAAATCTTGATTTGCAAAAGAAAACCTGTTCAGTACAGTGGCCAAGCAAAATCTCTGGATGTGTTTGTAAGATCCCTGGGAATTGAACTAAGATTTGAGAAGATTTATTAAACCAACCCCATATGGAAAGAGGGACAAGAAGGTTTTTAGGACAGCTAAAATTGCAGTCTTTAACATCTACTGAACTAGTGCTAAATCCGATTGAATTAAATGGAATTCATTTACAGAAAAGATGGATCCAGAAGATGCTGAACAGGTGGCTGCTGAATTACAAGGCAAGAAAATGGATGGCTGGGATGTTTTGCAAATTGCAGCTGGCACTGGCTTGACGGTTTATGTTGTGTGGGCAGGAATTCTTATGCCCGGTTTCCGCAAAGTGCCCTTAAAACTGCAGGTAAAACCAAGTTAACAGAATAAGGCTTTTAAAAGGGGAGAATGGCATTGAGTTGTGCAGGTCAGGGAGAAAATGGGGAAGGGGGGTAGGGACACGTAAAAGAGATTTTGTTGTCTTTCCCTCCCTCCTCGAGCTTCACATGTCGAGCACTGGAAAGGATTTTTGAAATCAAAACTTTTTAAAGATATGGCAGGAAGGTCTGCAGAGATTCTCAGTCATCCAGTTCATGGTTGTCCCAAAGGTGCTTTTTCAGGAGGCAACTGGACTTTCTGGTTTTTTCTTTTGAAGATGTTTCGCTTCTCACCCAAGAAGCTTCTTCAGCTCTGACTGGATGGTGGGGAATGGAAGGATTTATATTCCTTGCAGACAGCTGGTCATTTGCATCCTTTTAGAGGGTCTATGAGGCCACTTGGAGGTTTGTCTGTGTCCTCAGGGTCACCTGAGTAGTGNGTATGATTGTTAAATGTTTATACCCTGTATTTTGCTCTGGGAAGTTGGGGGGAGGGAGGGTTGGAGGGGTGGCAGGGTTGGGGTGGAGGGAGGGAAGGGGAAATATTTGTAAAATCTATTAAAACTTTTCAATTAAAAAAAATAAAAAACTTTGGATGCTAAAAAAAAAAGAATTACAAGGCGGGAGCCGTGATGCACGCATATATATGTCTGAAATAGTCTTCCGTCTGCTTTGACCCTCTAAAAGGGTAAAGGATTTTGCATGCGCCATCCAATTTCTCGTAAATCCTGCAAAACCCACAGCCAGAATCTCTTTTCTGCTGTCAAGCCCGCCGTAGAGAGAGAGAAAACCTTCGGAGAGGCGATTCTTTTCCCAACCCCTGGAAATAAAATCACGCCGAGCGAGGAAAAAGCCAGGAATGTGTGGGGCAGATTCCACAACGAAGCCCATGTGTCTTTGCAGGGGTTCAGCCTTGCAAAGCCGCACAATGGGGCTTGTGAGGAGACGTTTCCCGCCATTTCTTCCCCTTTTCATCCCGGCGGCCTTTCACTTCTTTCTCTTCAAAGCCCCCCTTTGGAACCATCTCTCCCCCCCTTCTCCCCTTTTTCTTCTTCCAGGAGATAAAAGTCTGAATACGTGAATCATAAAAGACGGTGCCTCATAAAGGCCTGAATGCCCCTTCCTCTCTCGCTCCCATCTCACTGAAAAGGCTTTTCTGGAAGAAAAGAATTTTGGCGGTACAGATGACCGTTTCTCTCCGGGGTCCTATTGTGGAGGGACACGTTGGGTGGTGGAGGAGAAGGGAAACAGCTGGGGAGGGGGGAATAATCTGAAATAAAGTGAGGGGCTGAGGAAGGTATCCGTGAGCTGCTAGGCAGAGTTCAGACCCAGTCAACTGTCATACTGCAAAATCCTTGACTTACGACCGGAAACGAGCCCGGCATTTCTGTTTCTAAGCGAGATGTCAGTTAAGTGGGTTTTCGCCTCATTTTTACAACTCTCTTTGACACAGGTGGTAAGGGAAAGTCTCCTTTGCCACAGTGGCTAAGACGCTGAGCTTGTCGATCAGAAAGGTCAGTTCAGCGGTTCAAATCCCTAGTGCCGCGTAATGGAGTGAGCTCCTGTGACTTGTCCCAGCTTCTGCCAACCTAGCAGTTCGAAAGCACGTAAAAATGCAAGTAGAAAAATAGGCACCACCTTTGGTAGGAAGGGAACAGCGCTCCGTGCACCGTCGGCATTGAG